TTTTCTGGTCCAGAGATTCTTGTTCTTCAGGAAATAATAGCTTGAGTGAAGACTGAGTTAGTCTTTCACCCACATCTGATTCAATTCCATCTTTGTCAGAAATGTTATTTTACAGGAATCACTAAATATGGAAAATGGGCTCTGTCAAGCACAGCAGAGCTAATTTATGTGCTCATTGGTCAGATTGTCATTATTGGCTTTCATTCATGAGTGGAATTATTTCTGCAAAAAAATTATTGATCTAAATGCACATGCTAATAGGATTACGGTGTTCGTATTCTGGCTCATCTTCTTTGACTTCTGTGGAAAAATCCTCTTCTCTCAGGCTGTTTTTCTGGGGTGAGAAATGGAGCCATACATAAATCAGAAGAAGATTCACCTCTTCTCATCAAAAGCAAGATTGTGTCCTGCCATAGCCACCTGTCTTCATAGCTATATTCTGTATTAACTTCTGGTTATGGAAGCATATTTCCTGCCTATTGAATGTATCTGCGGTTAGTATGGATAAAAAAGAGAAGCCTGATGTTTTCTTTTGGGTTGCTCTGAGAAACCTTTCCCTTTTCCCATTAGAGATCTGAGTTCCTGCAGATCAGTCCAGTGCTGTGTGAGTCTGATCAGACAGACCTCCCTCCCATGCGTGCTCTGGGGAACAGGGAGGTAAAAATAAAATGCCTTGTATTTATGTTCCAGCAGTAATTCCTACTGGCTCAAATGGGAATGCAACTGTGCCTCTAAAATGGGTCTGAGATTTTAATTTTTCCTTTCACGCAAGGTTGCATAGAACTGGAACCTTCCATTTTTCAAGTAAAAAAGCTGTGTTTTTATAGATGTCTGTTCATTTGAGCAACAACAACAAAGATTTCGTGCCTCTGGCCGTGCAAAAGCCCTGAATGTTAAAGCGCTTTGGTCTGGCTGAGTATCTGTCACAGCCCTATTTCCAGAAGTTTCTCGGAGGTTTGCTTAGGGGTGTTTTGGAAACCGTCATTTCTTCTGTCTGAATGAATGGTTTGGCCAGGAAATCAATCTAGCCACACTAGTCTGCTGACCTCCCTACACCCATTTCGCTTCACCAGATGCCTTTTTTTAGACGCGTGTGTCCCGGGACGTTGGTGTCAGGACAACCGCTGGCTGCCGTTCCTGCAGACCCGCTGCGGTGCCAGGGCAGCCCCTGCTCTGCGGGTCCTCGGGGGGCAGTGGCTGCCGGAATTACCACGCGATGCACCCTGGCGTCTCTTCCAAAGCTCTCTCTGGCTTTTCTTAAGCAAACTGTGTTTCCGAACGGCTCTGCCAATACCTCTTGCAAAGCACATATGTGCTAGCGCTTTGCAAGAAGAGCGCGGTGAACATGTCCTCCTCTTCCGCTTCATCCACCTGGTGTCTGGATCTCGGTCTAGTATCGAGTATCATGATTAATGTGTTTGTAGCCGTACGTGCCGCGGAAGCAGCGGAGCTCACACAAGCACAGCTTAGGAGGTTGTCTCCAAAGTCTTTCCTGGCAGATTTTTTTGTGTTGTGTGTTCCTGCCTCTCATTTCATGATCTCTGCTCTTCCTTGAGCTCCCGTCCTGCCCCTGCGACTATGTCGAGGTGACCTGCTTTATGTGCAAAGGAAGCCGTTCTCAGCAGGGCTGGCAAACAGCAAGTGTGACTTGCTCACAGATGTGTCTATACTTGCAGTTCCTTTAATAAAGAAAAGCAAAACAGGTTATTAATATTGTGTGTGGACCCGATGTGGGTTTTGAGTAGTTCATGTTTGGCAATGGTGGGAAGTGGAACAGTGAGATGGGAGTGCTTTGTCCAGGGTGCTGGGTAGAGCAAACTCACCCCACCTTGAGGGGCTCTCATGGTGGCTGGGGAGCAGGGAGATTTATACCAGCCTTTCTGTTGGATCTCCCTGCCCGTCCTCCAGCCAGCAGAGACTACGTTAGGTGAGATAAGGCCAGGTTTCCAGTCTTGGCCTGCATCGGCCAGGCGAAGCCCAGGTTCTTTCTCAGTGGTCAGTCAGGTCACTTCAGTGGACAAGGAGAAAGAAGGAGACTTCCTATCAGCCAGGGTTGTGTACAGCACAGCATGACTGAGATTTAGTAACCCCTTGGTAAATAGTGTTTTTCATCACCAAAGGCATGACCTTGAGCGGGAAAATCCAGAGCCTCCTTCAAGTGGGGTCATTGTAGGGTGTAACACCTCTTCCTCTGGAAACCTTTGGGTTGGCTTTCATCATGACTTGTGGCTCCGGAGACCTGATGTTCGGTCCACTGGGGTTTCCTAGGTTAAGCTTTGTACAGAATTCCTGCAAGCAGGCAGCGTGGGCTGTGGGCCAGGTTGGGACTTGGTCTCCTTCTCCCCACCCACTGCCTTCCCTGGGGTGACAGGGGACAGTGACTGACCATCTCTTCTCCGGGATGGCCTCCAGTGAAGGGTGCTGTGGTGTGAGAGGTGCTATGTGTCTGTCCATGCCCTGGCCATGGTGTGCCACCTGGGGAAGGGGAGGGAAGCAGCAAGGCTGGGGCCCAGCCCTGCTTCTAAAACCAGGGGTGTTTCCTTGTGGGAAGGGAGGTCTCTGTGCCTTCCATCACAGACTTCAGGGTTGCTGGGTCTGGCCCTGCCTTGAACCCGCCGGGCTGAGGTGGGATTGCGTATCTTGGTAACAAATCTTTGGGGCAGATGGGGTTGTCCCAGGCTCCATTTAGCTTCCTATCAGCCCCCTGTCCATACTAAAAGTTAAATTGGCAAGGTGCCATTGACTGGAGGTAGGGGTTTGGACTGTGTTACTTCCAAGCTGTAGTAAAAGCCTGTCTGTACATTAATCAACAGAGCTGTGGGAAGATCCCGGCTTGTCCTCGGTTCTCCTCAGCCTCCCCCCGGGCCCAGTCCCCAGCAAAGGCAGTGAGTCTGTGATATGGCTGCTTGCCCCAAACCATCCCTGACAGCGGCAGCCACCACAGAGCAGTTGCTTCCAGCATTTCTCCTTCCATGATTGCATCCCAGCTCCCTTTACACCAGTAATTCCCAAAGTTAATCCTCCTGCAGCGGTGGTGGGAGTGTGGGCACTGGAGGGGATTTCGGTGCTGCTGAGGGGACAGAGGGGCCAGGGTGCTTGCAAAAGGTCTAAGTCACTGTCATGAAACCCTGACCGTTGCTGACGCGAGGTGTGCTGATAAACTCCCAGAGCATCACGTGGAGCCTGCCAGAGGAGACTGTCTAAAGCCTATCGAGTGGAAGATAAGCCGGCTGCTGACAAATATTATCTTGGCTCTAGTTGATTTAACTCTGCTTCATGTGCATGAAATAACATCAACGGGAGCTGGGCGAACCCAGGCCTTTTTGAGATAAGACTGCTACTTTGCCCTTATGGAGGAATGTCAGAAAAACCCCAGCAGCTCCACCTGGGATCTGCCCTTCTCCCAGCCCCTCTCACACTCACTCCTGTCATCAGAAGACACATGATTTGGATTTTCTTCCTGTCTGGGAATTGAACTTTGACTTCCTCTAGCTTGTTGCAATTATTTCCGTATGTTCTAAAATCCTAACTTTTGACCTCAGGTATGTAATAAATTATTGGTTCGACTTCTGAGTCAGGCTGTCTGTTGTTATAAAATATTATAAAAATATTATAACTCTCACGGTCTGCATTTTACAAGCCAGCAGACAAGGCAGGCTGCGGTCTCTGCTCGGCACATAGCCGGCTGTGAGCAGCAGCTCTGCCCAGTGGGGTAGGAACTCTTCATGCAGGTAGCAAGATCCAGTTTCTAAAACAATATAGATAATGATTATCTGGGAGTGTATCTCTCCCTCAGCATGTGTATTACCCAGTATCTCTAATGATATTTATTGCTGAACTGAGAATATCTGGATGCACCAGGCTATTTTCACGTGTTGTAACTTATGGTTTTGTTTTCTGCTGGGGTAGATAAAAGATTCAGAGATAACCATCTAAAAACGTTTAATAATGTCAGCTGACTGCTTTCTGATATACAGTCTGAGATGTATCTCACAGGAGTGCAACAATTTCTGAATTCTGTGGAAAAAAAAAATCATCTTAAACTGGGGTTAAACATCTCAGTCCCTGATTGCTCCTGGGGAAGGAGTTGCCTTGCCATGGTTTCATAAAGGTGAAAGCAGGGCACTTGTTCCTAAAGGGCAATTGAGAAATCTTTGAGCAACGTGTTTGTTTTCATTTTAAAGACTTACTGACATAGGCACATCTTTGGTCTGTTGCTTTTGGGGGGAGTAAGGGAGGTGACACCCATTTCTAAAGTGGTTGTCTGAACGTGTGTATCCATAATTGCAGTTGGATACAGTTCAGCAGAATCTCCTCCTTGGATATAATGGAAATATTTTTTAATTTTAAGCTTGCTTTGTATCTGTTTCTTGGGAGTTCCCTTCGGCTTGAACAATTTGTCATCTTTTGTAATTGCTCATTCGAATTTCTTAGTTTGAGAAGGTGTGAAGTCTTCTGACAAATTTCTTTCAGGGGCAAAGGAGATAATTTTAAGGTGCTTCAAATAACCTTCAAAAGTTAATAAGTAGTCTAACTAACAGTAATGTCACTGAGGTCTGGAAACAGCTGAGAAACATTTATGGAATCAGAACCTGACAAAGTGTTGGTGGCTGTCAAGCCTCCTGTAGTAATCTGCTTTTGTGCTTATTTTCTTCCTGGCAATTCACAATGAAATCTGTGGGAAGAAGCTGAGAAATTCAGCACTTAGCATGAAATTCAGGCTTTCATCAAAAACTAGATAGCTTTGCTGTCTGCAGTCTTTCATAAGGACAGATAGCGTGGTAGGAAATGAGAGAGGTGTGTAAGATTGTGAAAAATGCCCGTTGCAGGGCATATTCCTCTCTCTGCTGCGCAATAAAGTTTACACAATGTCCATAGGTCACAAACCCTTTTATCGGGGCGGCATGTATTTTCATACTTAGGACTGCCAAGCGCTTGATGAGCGCTAGGAAATAGAGGAGGTTGCTGGTATGATCTCTCACCTCATTGTTTTCTTCCAGACGCGTATTCAGTCTCTTCCAATGACAACGGGGGCAAGTCTGATTCAGTGGCCAACTTGCAACCTCAGCCATCCCTCAACTCCATCCAGAGCTCTCCTGGCCCCAAGCGCTCGACCAACACACTGAAGAAATGGTTGACGAGTCCTGTGCGCCGGCTGAACAGTGGGAAGACCGAGAGCAACATCAAGAAACAAAAGAAGGTGCGAGATGGCAGGAAGAGCTTTGACCTCGGCTCACCGAAGACGGGAGATGAAACCACTCCTCAAGGAGACAGCGCAGATGAGGTGTGTGTTAGTGTTTGTTCCAGGAAAGACCATAGCTCTGATAGTCTCTTCTGTGGTTTGTGATTCATGCTTGAGTAAACACTTAGGGTCTAGAGGGAGCAGCGAATCATATGTAAAATTGAATTGATTAAAGTTGTGTTGCAAACAGCGTTGTCATCCAAAGAGCAATGGAATATATAGAGAACAGCATTTCAGAGCCTGCATATATTATTGTCCTTTGACTAGATATTTTTGATAGACTATTAGAAAGCTACCAAAGGTAAAAATGAAGTTATTCTTGAGCAGCTTTTACCACTTTTTGCTGAGGTTCATATCACCTTTATCCTACCATGGCAGTATAATTCCTTACTGAAGGAAAACAGTCAGAGAAATCAGCACATTTATGTTGAATCTGCTACATATTTGCAGCCACAGTTTCTCTGCAGGCATGTTCTTTGCCAGAATGGGTCTTTCCTGAGAAACAGAATAAGGAATTACAAGCCAAAAATGGGGAAGATACTAACTAAACACAAATAGAGGAACATATTTTAACAACTGTACATTGAGCTGTTCTCATTCAAATTAAAAAATACTTTTCCATCAGCACACAGACAGATGTAACTGCCTTAGATGCTTGGGTGGCCTATAAACTGTGTATCTGTAGCTCTTAAAATGCACCAGGATTAAGCAGCAAAACCTCACATTTTTATTGCTTCTCGTCCATGAGGCTTAGCATTGCCCACAGTTCTCTCCACCCAACATGACATTGAGACAGTGTTAGTATTAACAGGCTCAAAGCCTGGTGGTAGGGCTCAGATATCTGAAAGGATAAAAGAAACCCGTCCCGTCTCCTAATTATATTTGACTTTTCTTCAGAAGAGCAAGAAGGGTTGGGGAGAAGATGAACCAGATGAAGAGTCTCACACACCTCTTCCTCCTCCTATGAAGATTTTTGACAATGATCCAACCCAAGATGAGATGGTAAGGCCTCCCCTGCTGTATCAGTTTGTTGTTTTGAGTGTGTTTCTAGCATAGTCATCTCACAGCGGTTTCATAGTGGTCTTCTAGTATCCAGTCCTAGACTTGTGGTTATAAGAGACACCTATGTGCAAATCATAATCTCATACCTTTCACCAGCTGTATTTAGGAATAAAGCTGGATAAGCCATTTAGTCCTGGCATCCCATTTCATGACAGGCTGATCATGTGTTTGTGTTATGTGTGGTCAGAAATTCCACTCAGGCTGATACTGCGTATTCTCCACATCTGTTTTAAAAGTGCTGTTGGTGTCTGGCAGTAGCAGTGGAGATGGTATTTGGTGGCAGCCTGTGCCTGAGGAATAGGATAGATGCCGGAGTTTGCTCGAATCCAGAAATACTACCTTTACCACCAAGGGTTAGAAAGCTTGAGCTCTCCACTTAGGCTCTGTGTGTGATGGGAGTCCAGCAACATTGTCAGTCTGTGCCCCACCACCCACCCTCCATTCTGAAGTGCTTTAAAACTTGCAGATGGAAAAGCCCACCCAGTGCTATCGTTTTGCATTTTTGGCGTATGTGGTTGATCATCACTGAATGGTCCACTTTATCACCTTCGGTTAGTTCAGAAGCCCACAAGGTATCTGAAGTCCCTCTCAGGAGGGTGGGAAAGGCTTTGATCTGCCCATCTTTGTGCGCCATGCTAGTGGTGGTAGATCTCTGCTGTTAGCTAGGGTCTCTTGAATGCTAAATCAGAATTTGCTGTGGTAGGTGGTGCAGTGGCTTGCAGAGTCCTTCAGTTGCAGTCTTGGACTTGGGGTGAGAAGCTGTGAATATGGCTATGACAGTGGTTTGCATTCGCAGTCAGTGCAGGTCCTGTCTCCATGTGTCCTCCCCCACCCCTTCCTGGTGCTGTTGTCTCCCTTGTAGAAATCCATCCTCCTGTGTAGCTGTTTCCTGCTTTCCTGCTGGCATCTGTTTTTAGCACTGCCACTTCTGTATCTCTATCCTCTGATTGTAATTACTGCATGCAAAGAAGCAAGGATAGGGGAGATTAATAAATTGTCAGGAAAAAAAAAAAAAAAAAACAACAACCCAGAATGTTCTTGGGGAAGGTTCAGGCAGGAGTTTGGAAACACGGAGCGAGAAGGACCCAACTATTTCTGGGACTGTAGGAGCAGAATGATGGAGGAAAGGATTCGGGGGCTTGCTGCTAATCTGTCAGGAAATGTTATGACATTGTGGTGTGGCAGCAAGACCAGAAGGAAGCAGCTGGAGTCGTGGACTCCTGCCCTTCGAGTGCTGCATGTACTGCTGGTTGTCTGGCCAGGGGCAGAGGCAAAAGGTCAGCAAAGCAGAGCCATGGTGGATCCATGCCCAGCACAATAGCTGTTGCTCCTGGCTTGTTCTGCATGGTGTTTAGCTTAATGGTTTGGGGTTAGTTTGCTTTTTGGGGGTTTTGGGGGTTGTTTTGCTTAGCTTCAGCCCAGGTCACTTTTTTTTTTTTTTTTAATAAATTTTAACATGCCATGTGATTTCAGTGTTTCTTAAATACATCTCTGACAACGCCGATGTTGTGGAACTAAACTGTTTTCAGCTCCAGATGTCTAAGCCTTATAGAGCGTTTTGGCATGCTTTTTCTTCACCCGCTCCTGAAAGAGAAGATTAAGTAGACCAAGATATATATGAAAGCCTTTTTCTCTCTCTTTTTCTTCCCCTACTCACTTTTCATCACAGAAGGAAAAAAAGTGAAGCTCACGAACATGGCTCCTGAATTCCCTGGCACAGGAGCACTGCATTAGCAATGTTTGAGCCATGCTGGAGCCAAAAGCTCTTTAACAATGTTAATTTGGGCACGGCTCCCTGCTCATGTCCTACTACTGCTTACAGGCACAGGCTTAGGTTGGACCAGCAGCAACATGGGGAAGTAGCGATGGTAGGGGGGAGGTGGCACCTTTACCTGAACTCATCTGCAAAGCAGAATAATCATGCCTTCCTGCTCCCAGAGGGTCTTATAAAGACAAATTGCAAGATATATTCATATTAGAAATTAATCATTTACTTTCTGGGACATAGAAATACCATTTTTCAATTTGCCCCACACAAACCAGAGTCACCCGTCAATCACAGAAGAATTTTATTTTACCCTGAGAGACTTGTAGGCAGCAAATGTTTCCATGCTCCCTTCAAAATCCTACAGTTATTTACTTTTCAGAGATATTGAGCAATTTCAGTTAAAAGTAGTGAGAGCAACAGCTGTTTAATGCCTCCAAAAATTGGACTCCTCCTGCTAGAATGGTTATGTTTGACAGTTATCGTCTCCGTATTTGTCCGGTATTTCTTCAAAGTCCCCATTTTCAGTCTTCTTTTTTTTTTTCCCTAGACACATCTGTCCGCATTGCAGGTGAAACGGGTTGTCTGAACTTTTACATTTGTATGAGATTCCTGCATTACCAGCCTAATTCCTCAATTACCAGCCTGATTACCTGTAGTTTTTGTTGTTGCTGTAATTAGAACTGTTGATTAGATGCATTATTTGTGAAAGATGAGATGACAAGTGGCAGGCTGTTCACGCTGCTGCTCTGTCACAAGGCTTCTGGTTGGGATTGGTCTCCTTTGCCCTGTTTTTTTTCTTCCCCTGGGGCTGTGTCACTCAACATGAGCAACCTCCACAAGGGGCTGCTTGCAGAGGTGGCCAGCTGCCTAATTCCTGCCATCACATTTCCATCTCTCACTCTCCAGCACTTTTTAATCTCAGATGCGTGTTCGTTGGCACCTGCACGGTGACTTCGCTGAAATGGGTGCTCTCCAGAAGACCTTTACTAAGCAGCTGAGAGATGAATAAGCTTTTTAATAATTTTAATGGAGAATTTATTAAAATTTACCCGTGCTATAGTCCATGTCAGCCTGCCAAAAGCAGGTTATCAAAGGGCTTATAGTTTCAGTCAGTGCTTGTATTTTGTTCAGAAGAAATGTACATACAGGTGAGCTCATAAATACCAATTCCCATAGCTATCACGTGAGTTTGGGTTTTCAAAGTGAGTTTTTTTAGGAGATATACTAAGGGATGAAGAGGTCCATATAGAGCAAAAACCTTCAGCTAAAGCTGAGTATTTCACACAGAGGCCAGTCTTTGCAGCACCATGGGGGATGCTTGGGTAGCACAGTGAAGAGGTTTCAGTGTTTCTGGAGATTTGTAACAGCCAGCAGCCATTAGCTGTGGCTACCTGAATGTGGAGACATCCAAAGATGTTACATGATGTCAGGCACCTAAAATTGAATACCTGTGACCAACAGACAGTCTTAGATAAGCAAGACTGAAAACATTCTACCTGATGTCAATAGGGAAATGTGGGCATCTCCAAAGAGTGTTTCTGCCCTCCTGTGCCAGGTGCCATGGGTAGATGAGATACATAGGGGTATTTGCTCTCCACTGGTTGCAGAGAGGAGAGAGAAAAAAATAAGTATTTTAAATGGCTGAAATTGCATGATTAGGAGGTGTCATCTGACTTCATTTGGAATTGCAATTGATCTGTGGGGATGAGAGGGGGAATGACTTGTTCCCCCCTGCTTCCCGCTTCTATTGCCTTTACCTCCATGTGTACCATATACTTAACTGCATTTATTAAATATGTATGTATGGGGGAGGGGGTAATTTCTTACATCTGCAGTAAGAAGATCAATTTTCTGGAGTCTATAAGACTGTAGATGTCCTATGAAGGAGGAACCTACAGGCATTAAGAGTATTGCAGCCTGGTTGCAAATGAACTTCAGTTCTTTGACACTGCTCCCTGGTTCCCAGCCCTGGGACTGCTGCAGGGAGATGTGCAGCCAGAAGTGGATGGCAATTCTGTGCTTGTTTGATACAGCAACACTCACTCACCTGGCCCTGCATGTGGTCCTCTAACCCTTCTGCTCCCCTTCCACGTTTTTTCTCCTGTCTCAGAAGCTGCTTCACTGACCGCTGGTTTCCTACTCCCTTCTCATCCTGCTAACTTGCTTTTCCTTTGCAACGTGGTGTCTTGCAGTCCTCTTCTTTGCTAGCTGCTCGACAGAGCTCCTCCGATGTCCCAACTGCTGCGGATCTTGTCAGTGCAATAGAAAAGTTGGTCAAAAGTAAGCTGGTAAGTTTAGTGTTGTGAAAACTGTGTACACAACAGACCTAATATGACTCCAGGGAAGGGCTTCAAACTCTACCTCTTGTTTCTGGTTTCCTTGCTTTCCACCTTCATCTGCTATGCTTTTATTAACCCTCTGTGCTCTACTTTTCAGTAGAGTGTCTAATATTTTTGCTCCCCATTGAGACAAAGCCTACATCTCACATTGCCATGTAGGCTCTGCCCTGCATAGTCAAACGGCCCTTTTGGGGTGGGCTTTGCAGAGCATGAGCTACAATACTGTACTCTTTCTGGGGTCTTGTTGGTATTGAAATATTTTACACAGTGAGATGTTTTCTTTGTTTTGTTTCAAAGGTTGTTCTGATGCACAGGAGTTTTACTACGCAACATGTGAGGTTTTTTGGTATTCTGGCTTCACTGAAAAGACCCTCTAAAGAGTAGCACTGCTTGAAGTATCACAGCTGTGCTTTAGATTTTACAAAGATTCATGTGTCGCTTTTAGTCTGCCTTGTCAACTCTTTCTGACAGGGAGTGGAATAAGCAATAAAAATGCTCTGGGTTTAATTTGTTCTAAAAATTTAGTGCCGTGCACTCTGCCTGTCTGATCCCATGTCTGATGGATAAGGAGTAAATCCTGTTTCATATCTTGGCTTCTCTTAAGTTTTCTGTGAAAGAGTTCAGAATGTTAATATAAAAGCTAAACTTTTTTCTACAGGACCAGGATCTCTAAAATTAGGTAAATGCTTGCTTTGAACAAGTTTAACTTAAGTAACAAGTTAGGAGTAAAGCAGCATTATGATGAGCCTACAGAGGTTCATTTCCTTACGTATACTTGAGGGATGAAGAGAGTAAAAACAACAAAAAAAAACCCCACAGTGATAATTAAATTACTGTACCTTTGTCAAGCAGCTTTACATAGCCAATCATCTCAGAGGGGTTTGATATTTTCTCCATTTGAGGTGTTGGTACATGAATATAGTCTGTGTTCATAGAGCGCTTGATAAGGAGTAAGTGCTGAAGGAGCTCTTTGTGACATGGGAAACCGAGAAGGACATTCCCAGAAAGTTTACTCAAAATAGTTTTATTCCATCGAGGGACTAACAAATTGAAAAGTATTTCATTAATCCAGTTAGATGTATTTTCAGAGGATATTTTATTTTCTCTTCCCCACATGCAGGCTGTTAGGTCAATTGCGATTACTTTCTAGGGATTTAGGGGAAAGTTTAATTATTGTGGAATGTTACAATGTATCCATCTATTTCTGTTTTGTTTTGTTTTACTTTGCTACAAAGAATCCGTAATGAATCTTTGGCAAAGAAACTGACCACGTGTAGCCTAACACTGGTTCTGATTGAGACATCAGCGTATTTTCAGGTTGTTTTGAAATAATTTGGAAGAGTTTTCTCATCCTGAGGCTACTGGAACATCTTTTTCCACCTTCTAGCAAAGGACATCTTCTCTGTTTTAATGCTTTTTTTTTTGGTGGGGGGTGTCTTAAATCAACTTAAAATGAGTTTGGTTGTGTTTCACTAAGGGCTGCAGGAAAATATTTCTGAATACTCAGCTTGGTTTCAGACTGCAGTGTCAATTGCAGAACTGACTTGAAACAGAAGATAACACTGATGCTGAGGTTTAAGGATAATGTTTGTTCTATCATTCTTTGGGGTTTTTTTAGACCCTTGAAGGAGGATCTTACCGAGGAAGCTTAAAAGATGCCACTGGCTGCCTAAATGAAGGAATGACGCCTTCAACTCCTCCACGAAACCTTGAAGAGGAACAAAAAGCCAAAGCAATGAGAGGCAGGATGTAAGTTGTCATGCTGGTTCTTCTTTCTGAAATAGGCACCCGAAGAGGACATATAGCTGCACTGAAAGACCACTTTGAAGTAGTGAATGAGCAGGGAACTGGGAGTAAAACTGTGGTCTACTTGCTTCTGTTTTTTCTTAACCTGTAAAAAGACTTCATAAGAGCTTTTGCACACCCAGGAGGTTCATCATCACTCTTTAAAATGTACAACTTTTACCCCAGATAGCAAATACCTGTTGCTGTAAGAGCCTCTGAACAGCTAGACAGGTATTACTGAGATGTTTGCCTTGGTAAATACTGCGTTGCCAGAGGTGAAATCAGCTCTCAAAGGGGGATATGTGGTTGACCTTATTAGCTACCTTCAAGGAAAAGAACAGAAAATCCCACTAGGATTTTTTGAATGAGAGAATTTTTTTTTGCCTTAGTTATTAGCTAAGGAAGGGTCAGAATTCAGATGCATTTGTGGTGGAAACACCACTAAAGAGAAGGTTTCGTTGGGGAAACCCTCATGTTCATGGTAATGGGAGAGGAAAGAAATGGTGACAGGTCATGAAAGTTGTATTTAAAATTATCTGTCCCCTCCCTTGAATGTAACAAAAATAACATTTGTGCCTTCAAAGCTTCTCAGGATTAAAGCATTTCTTAAATGCATAGTTCATCTGAAAGACACAGAGAACTGGAGAAACAGAATCAAGGATTGTATGGGAGCTGAGGTAGCTGTTTTCTTTATACTGCCTCTTACATGAACAGTCACTGCAATGGTCTAATCAAATGGTAGATCAAGGGTCCAAGTAACGGTCCAAACAGGTCTCATCAGAGTCTGATAAGGTGAGAGGTGGAAGAAAAGCAGCCCATTGGGGAAAGATGCCAAGGAGGGAAGGAAACCAAGTCAGGGGAGGACAAGGAGGTAGTTAAGAGCAGAAGAGGAAGTAGGAGCAAAGAGTCACAGGTCTGTGAAAGCCATCATTTGCTCCTGCAGTTTGTTGTAGGAAGCCAAGGAAGGGATACAGTGAGGGACTGGATCAACTCCCAGGAGCAGGCAGGGACGTGACACTCCTGGATGTGTTTCTGAATGGGAGAAGTTTTCTGCTAGGCAGCCATCAGCCTTCCTGCAGGGAACATCTCTGCCCATGCCTGTCTCCTAAAAGCTCCTCAATATTGCAAGTTCTTGGGTTTGTCTGGTAGCAATTTGTTAATTAGATTACTGGCAACTAACTTATGATTGCAGTTTTAGTGTGGAGACCTTTGCCACTGATAGATACAGTAACACTTTCTAGCATGGGATGCTTCTGGCAGGGGTACTGGCAGCGTGTTACGCATAATTAGTGGCTGCCTCCATCCAGATTTTCTAAACGCCAGGATGTTTAGGAGCACCTGCTAGTGGCTTTCAGCACAAGACATCTGTCTCCTCTCCAGCTCCATTGTATCTGTGTTCTGTATCTCAGCGGCTCGCTGTATTTTAATTCCATCACCGTATGAGGCAGCTGAGCTCCCAACTCGAGCTGTGACCCCCCTGTTCCCCAGAAAACCTCAGCTGAATCCTTGCACGGGCATGGGCAGTAATTCCCTGTGTCTCTGGCAGCACATGAATGCCAACAGTTAGCCCCGGTGTCAGGAAACCCCTATTCCACCAGGTTTGATTGCTGCATTTCTATGAGCAATAAGGTAAGAGTTGGGTAGCATTGTTCAGTATAGATTTAATACAGACTTAGCAAGAGCTACAGATATTCAGAAGTGAGGAGGCTCTAACCTTGTTCCAGTACATGCCATTTTAAATACAGCTGTGTAGTCCATCCCTGCTGGTGACCAGGGCAGGCACTCTCCAGGCAACTGCCTGCCCTTGCTCCATGTTATCAGGTGAGGAGATGAGTGAACTTGAATTTTTGGCAGCATGTATCTTAGAAACCTTAAATCCGGGAGTGCCTGTATGGTCCTGTGTCAGGTGAGCGTCAGAGAACTAATGGAGGTGGTCAAGTTTGATTTTTCTGCTTACTAGGAAGAGGGGAGCTGGGGGAATGCTGGCACTTAGCTGTGGAGGTGCAGTGGAGGTGCAGACCCTGGCTCCTAGTAGAGGTGTAAATTTGCAGGGTTAGTTTGTTCACCTGATAGACACCTGGTCACTGCACTGATGTTTAATTGACACTTACCTGCTTGCGTGTCCCACAGCGTTACGTACTAGAAGTACCCGCTGCTTCATTTTTGGAGCAGGATTTGGCCAGATGGCCCCTTGCAGGAACTCAAACCAAAGGAGAGGCAGTGGGGAGGAGGGAGAGGTTCTCCCCACTGCCCCAGCAGCTCGCTGTGTTCCTGGGGAGCAATGCAGTCGGAGGTAGTGTGAGCTGGGATGTAACCTGCCAGAGAGGACATGGCAAGCCTTTCGCAAGGGCACGGTAGGTCAGCCAGGCAGAGGGGACTGTACAGCACACACTTGTTCAGGCCACATGCTACTGCTTTGTGAAAGAGCAGCCTTTTGCCCCCGTGTGTGTTTACTACCCAGGCACACAACTTGGCAGGGCTCTTCGGAGAGCACAAGCATCTGGCATCGCCGCTGCCAGCACTGCCTTCTGCCAAGGGGGCTGGATTTCACTCTTAAATGAACAAGAAGCTGTTTGACCTCTTCCTGCCACGTGTCTTAAGTATCTCCTCCACTCTGTCTGAGCAAGGGACACGTTGGGAGTGCAGCAGGAGCAGGATTTATTTTCTCAGTGACCTCTCATAGCGGAGTCCCTCCTTCCAATGCCAGTCTACCTTTTTTTTTTTCCTCCAGATATTTTCAACCAGGCTTTTATCTTAGCACTGTTTGCCCTCAGCCCTATCATTTCAAGTGGGTCTGTCTGCCGATTGATGTGAACAGAGCGATATTAGACATGAAAGCACTCCTCTGTCTTGTTAGCCTTGTTACTGCTGCAGCGAACTTTAGCACAGATGGAGTTTATTTGTCATGTGCCAAATCTGTGTATCGGCGTAATTGAGAGGCAGACTGTCTGCAGCAAGCTGTAACTTTTTGAAATTGTCCTCGAAAGAACATTATGTGATTAGTCAGTTTGACTTACAAAGGAGGGGCTTTTTTTAGTTTGCTGTTGTTTGCATGCATCAGGCCTTGATTAGATGACTCTCCTGCCCAGGATTATTCGCTCTGAAATCAGTGTTAACCAGTTGACACCCACACATGGATTACCTAGTCTGAAAGATTAAGCTCTTGGTTACGACAGGAGAGGGGAATTGTTTTCCAAGTGTTTGAAACTTCCAAGTTAAAACTTAATTGCTGAATCTTGGGCAAAGCCAGAGGGACTGGGGCAAGAAATCCTCTCCTGCTTGCTGCAAAATGGGTCAGGACATGTCTCCACAGCTGTCGGGGGCTGCATGGGGGATGGAGGAGGGGAGATTCAAAGTACAGGCAGCCAGTTGTGCTGCTTCTCTTGCACCATCCTGGGATGGGGAGGGAAGAGGGATAGGAGGAAAGAGTGGTTAAGACAATTGAAACTATCCTGACCTGAAATGTGATCATTTTTGTCATCCACATTCCACTGAGCTATAAGGGAGTGAAGAGTGAGTCGTGTTGCGTGACCTGGAGCACAGTGGGGGTTTCTGGAGAGGTGTTAAGAGAAGCAAACATCAAGGAATATGGTCAAATACATGTGTTCTGTTTTAATCTAGGTTTGTCTTAAATGAGCTGGTACAGACTGAAAAAGATTACGTCAAAGACTTGGGAACTGTTGTGGAGGTGAGCTGAAGCAAACCCTGCCATGCAAAATGTTTTCCCAGTAAAAAGCACCATGCTGACAAGTGACAACAAAAAAAAATACAGCACAAGAAGCAAACTGCTTTATTTTGCACTCTGCTTCCATGGTCCCCTTCTCATGTTGACAGAAACAAGAAGAAATGCCTTCGGAAACTATTTTTGTTTCCATCTAGCAAATGTTGTATTTTAGGTTTCAAGTCCAGTGTACAAAGATTTTTCTTGGCTACTCTGCTTGTGATGAACTCTTTCTGCTGTAATGCAGCCTTGAGGGCAGTGGTGGAGGATAACTTATGCTCCTACCACCTATTTTATGCTTTTCTTGCTGTCATATTGAGTAATGGCAACACATACTTTACTTGAGTTTGCACCTGGACTAACGTCCTGTGTCTGAGTACTTTTCCAGAAGCTGGGTTTGGATCTGTGCTGAGGTGCGTGTGTGACCTGTGGATCATTGTTTTGCAAAGAAGCACTTCAGATAAAATAGTGGTTTGGGTCATCATTGTTTAAGCTTCAACTTGTAAAGACCTGGCCAATCCCTAGGGATCACTTGTCGGAGCCATCTCACATGCAGAGTCCGGGTTTTTTCCCAGCAAGGACTCAGAACTGAAGGCACGTGTTTGAGCTGGGCTTTCAGCAACGCTTTTGGCATTCACTAGTCCAAGGAGAACTATCACCCGTTCTAACAGTGATTTTCAGCAGCTTCCAAACTTGGAGACCTTTGTGTTATCTTCTGTTTACATCATGCACCGCTGGCAAACCTGACAGGGTTGCAGTGCTCCAAAGGCTTATAAAGAAACTCGGGAGGTGTGAGAAATCCCATTCATGTGACTTTTTAAACTTACTGCTTGGCTTTGTGCTCCCACAAAATACTCACAGTGAAGAACTCTGTGCAGACTCTGGCTTCTTCCTTCTTCCAGAGAAGCCAAGAGCTTGATAAACTACTTTTGTTTAACTTTTATCTTCTAATTGCACTTGTCACTTCAATGACATTTAATAACAGTTTGTGTAAGTATGGTAGATAAGAATAAATCCTTTAAAGTTTTCTTTTAAGCAAACTGTAATTTAGAGTATGTAGATGGGTTTCTGGTTTTAAATTGCACGAAAGGTATTTTAAGTGTTTTCAATGTAAAAAATCCTGACATTAAACTTTTGCTTCTTTGGAAAAAAAAAGATCGTAATTATTCTGCCCTTTTAAATGAACCCTTTGCTAATTGCTGATCATTAATCCTGAAGGGCTTCATGAAGAGGATAGAAGAAAAAGGAGTTTCTGAAGATATGAAGGGGAAAGACAAGATAGTATTTGGCAATATTCACCAGATCTATGACTGGCACAAAGAGTAAGTTTTTGGTTTAGTTCCTTTTTAAGCACCTTTCTAACATCTCTTCCATAAAGGATTGGGGTATATGGTGTCCATATGTCTAAGCTGCTTTTAATTGAACACCAGCAGGTAATTCAGGGCTGAACTTCCAAAGGACGTTGCCTCACTTTAAATGGTCCCTGTTGATTTGTAAGTGCTGCTTAGTAACTTCACAAATCATCGCTACCCTGAATCCCGAGAACATGTTCTAATTCATGTGCTTTTAGCCAGTTTCACAATACCCACGGTCCTGATGCAGGGCTTTGTGTGCCCAGTCAAAAATGGCCCAACCTGCATGATGCAAAGCAGCGGTCCTACATAAACTCCTTTTTCCCACTGAAAAAACTTCGATGGGCTATAGCTATGCACTGCTTGGCTTCATGGAAGTGTGTTGGTTGTGCCATCTTTCACAGGTACAGCTTTTTGCTGGCTCAAACACCACACCTGGAGTGCTGGTCAGTGTGACAGACATGTTGTTGCACACAAGAGAGTCTGTGTCAGTACTGCTCTGCCATTCCTTGCTGGGGACTCACAACAGGAGGCTCCATGGGAGACACCGTTGTGGTCCATTCACAGCTCCTGAGCTACTGCTCATAAGCAGTCCCAACCTGGCTCCCAGAAAGGTGCTGCTTGTGGGGTACTTGCAGGAAAGCTACTGTGGCTGCCATAATTGTGTGTCTTGGGTCACAGCTGTAGGCTCATTCCATCCCAATGAGGAGCAGTAGCAACACTGGAAAGTCATGGTTTCATGAAAATCGTACTCTGTCCTCATACAAGTAGCTTTTGAAAGGCTGCTGGAAACACGAGGCTTATTTCAAACCCTGGGCCATTTCCACCTTAACTCTATGAACAGCAATGTCTTGCTTATGGACAATATAGTCATCCATTTCAACTCTGCAACTCAAAAATACTCTACTGCTGTGGCTAACTAGAACTTGAGGCTGCATGCACAGTCTTGATCAATGGCCACCAGGCTGGATCTTCCTTCAGCTCTGGTCGTTTGTTTCCCTCGCCCAGAAAACTTGATGTCTTTCTCATCATGTGTCCCACAAGTATTTATCTCATGGCTTGGGCCTGTTCTTATGTTCTGACAGATGCCCTTGTAAGCACAAAGCAAAAAATATTAGAAAAAGCTTCACCATATATCAACTTCTTGATACCAGCAATGGAGTATTTTTACCAGTGCAATTGTTTAAGACTGATGATAGGAGCTTTCTGTAACACATCAGGAGGGATTCCCTATTTTTAGTTCTGCAAATCTGGGTCAAGAAGTCTATTTAAATGCAGATGAATTTAACATTTTTAGAGGATCGAGCTATGGAAGCAGCTGTATCTGATGGTAGCAACAGGGATGTTTAGCTGGGACAGCTGTCCAATGTGCATCTTCTTTTGAGGTTCAGGGATTTCTTGGGACCAGACCATTGCAAGCATGTCCTCTCACCAAATCCGGCTACTGTAGCAAATCCATGGAGGCATTTGAGACAGAAATCTTGCAATGAAAAAGAGAAAGATGATAGAAAGGGAGATTGTCAGGATTTGCCTACCAGATAGAAAAACCTACCAGTATTTCTAAAGTTTAATTTAGCTGCTTTTACGTCACTTTTAGGCGTTCCAGTATATTCTTAGTAAGGGCATTCACACTAGAACAACAGACCTCCCGAGAGCTGTAGGTCAAGATAGAGGTGGTGTTTATGAATTACTATTACTATTGTGAATGATGGTATATTACTAACAGTAATATACTGAAAACCAGCAAAAACCAGAACATACCAAAACTCTACCAGCAAAAATGTGTTGATTTGTTTATTTGAGTGGAAGCTTCTGCATCTCTTTCACATTGACCAGTACTCCAAATCTGCTCATGCAACTGAGAACTCCTGGTAAAGCTTCAGCTGAGTTGTCACAAGTGTTTTGGTATGTGGAAAAGTTCTACTTTGGGAGTTCTCAGTGAAGGAAAGCAACTCTTGCAATTAGATAGTAATTGGCACTTTTTAAAAATTGAAACCACTGTAATAGTAAAGAAGAGGAGATAGTCTGCAAGACGAGACCTCCATATTTCACAGCTCTCATCTAATGTTTTAGAAATGCTACCATTAAGGGCTGAAGCCAAGCTTACCTTTTCATTTATAGCTAAAATACTGTAGCTAAAATTGCACCGATATGTCTGAGGGATGACAGGTTTGCTGCTGGGATGACCTAAAGAAATATTCTGAAGTGTTGATATCCTTTTTTTTCAGCTTTTTCCTGGCTGAACTGGAAAAATGTCTTCAAGAACCTGACCGTTTAGCACAGCTCTTTATTAAGCATGTAAGTTTTGCTTTGTTACCTATCTGTAGTATAATTATCATTTAGGGTGTGATGACTCCTTTCCAAAAACATTTACTTGTGTCAACTTGATATTTTTACACATCTAAACTTAAATTAAATGTGAAGTGGGCTTATAGTTATGCATCTTCAGTGAGCAGCTGGATTGAACTACAGCATTAAGCATTACCTTCTTCAGACTGCTTATTCTGGGGGCAAAATTAGTGTGGCCAAGGATGTCTGCCAAAATATAATTATGGGAGGTACTTGCCAACTGCTGTGATTGACATGTTTGTGTGATATTAACGAGAGCAGAACACTATAGCAAATTTAAGACCAGTTTGGGGATGACATTTCTAACTGGTCACTTCCATGGAAATCTCCCCTTGCCTAAGGTGCAGAAGTGGAGAGCAGAACCAGTTACCAATTAACTTTCCTACTTCAGCAAACGAAACCTTTGATTAAACCAAAAATAAGGAAGAGCAAGCAGAACGTCTTAACAACTTTCTGCCAGTTTTTAAGAGCAGGACAGAATGGTAGCCAGTCTCACACCAGGCTGCTGTGCATTTTGCCTTCGCAGGAGCGGCGGTTACACATGTATGTGGTTTATTGCCAAAACAAGCCACGATCTGAATATATAGTAGCTGAGTATGAGGCATACTTTGAGGTAAGCATGGCTCATTATACGTTACTGCTACATACGCCTGTGAGTCCTACTGAAGTAGACCTGTTGGCTCTGTGACCTGTGGGGCTTGTCTAAAAGAAATTCTAGATTTTGATACTGCACATGCTGCTAAAGTACAGGGAAAAAAAAGTTATTTCATTTATTTGAAATTCTCATGTTGTTAATTTCTAATAAATATTTAATCCAGTACTAACTGTCTATAGCTCTCAGAGTGCCACAACTGCGTTGATTTTTGTCCAAAATAAAATAAGACTTTTTAATCCGTAGTCTACAAACAGGGGAGAGGGCAAAAGTTGTTAGAGCTGGGTGGGGCCTCTCATAAATTCCCGATAATGTTGTCTGTTTCAAGAAGTCTTTGGGACTAGGCACATTTAGATATTAATGTGAAAGAAGCTCGTTTAACCAGGGAAAGATGTTTTGTTTCACCCAAGGGCATGAGGCATGCTCTGCAGGGATTGTTTGTGAGCTAATCCCTGCTGCAGTGGAAAGAGAGGTCTCCAGACCTTGCAGTCCTGCTCAGTCAGCTCAAAGGGGGAAGGGATCCTGTGCTTTCCAACGCCTTCCAGCTCGGTCGTGACTTTTACCCACTCCTTGCCTAAATAGGACATGCCAGATTTTTAAATCCTCTAAAATTCCCTCTTGCAAACAAAAGATTAAGAGCAAACCGACTTTCTGGGGAAGTAAGCCTCTGCTGAGACATTTTATGATGTTCTCTGTCTTACTCTGTGATTGTTTGGAATCATTTTTAATCCTCAATTTTTAGGAGGTTCAGCAGGAAATAAGCCAACGGCTAACCATCAGTGACTTTCTGATCAAACCCATTCAAAGAATAACTAAGTATCAGCTTCTTCTCAAGGTAAGTGGAAAGATGCAGTCAGGACTAAACTATGGTCTGCATCTTGCATTAGGTGCTGTTATTTTAAGTCAGCCTTAGTTTTAACTGAGGAATATCTACATCAAATTAAGAGGAAAAAGGAGTCTGCTTATACATGGGCATACGATGACAGAGTCCCATGGAAAATGTCCAGAGAGCAGGAGGACCACATCTGTGGGAGTAGTTTGCAATTGATGATAATCGAAAAGGCCGGGGTGGGGGGGGCATTTACTATTGGAATTTTTTTATAGAAGAGTAAACTCCAAATAAAAATTTTCTTCCTTTGAAGTAACAGAACAAACTTTCATTCGATTTTTTGAAATTGCAATAGAGATGCACAGGAGTGTTAGTAGAGCCTGTTTTTTGGTGCTGAATGGTATGATTCTGACAAACAGTTCCATTTCTGAATATCTCTCTTCAAATTCACTTGAGAAATGTATTTCCAGAATATTCTGATGTCTGCAAATGTGGGAAGCCTACTGTAATTTTTTTCCCGAGGAGCCTGACCAGTCTGACTTCAGCTGACTTTATCCGCAATGCCAATTACTCAGCATTTCTGAAAATCCATCCCTAGGGACCTCAAGCTAATATCTAAAATTAGGCATGTCTGAACCATACCCTGTAATCTCCAGCAGTACCAGGGCTCTGAGCTCGTTTCTTCTCTTTTTTGAAGTAGTCTCAAGCAGGCGGCCATCAGCCCACAGTTTGATAATTGCACACTTGCAAAGAGGCAGCGGCATGTTCCCTGAGATGCCAAGAGGAAAAGAAAAATCTTCAAGTGTGTGTGGTCTTGTGGCTTAAGACAGGGACCAAGTAAGCCTTCCCAAGGGCTGATACCAGCTTTGTCCTTTTTTTCTGTGATGTTTTCAGCAACCATCCACACCCCATTTCCATATCTATAAAGTGGTTATAATGTTCAGCAACCTCTGAAGATGAATTTATTGATATTAGCGAGTTGCTTCTCAGAAAATCACATGCCAAATATGAATTTTCTCTTTCAAACTGGCGTCTTTTGTTTTCTCTTTCTGAAGTGCCTTAATGCAAACCTTTCTGCTTTCTCCAGGACTTCCTGAGGTACAGTGAAAAAGCTGGTCTGGAGTGCTCTGAGATAGAGGTACGTTTTCATGTCCTGGACAATGGTGCTACGTTATCTAATGGCAGTTTATATGGAGGAATGAAAACCCCAGTATGCCTTTGACAATACTTGAAGATCCTGCTGGTATTCTAAATGTGGTATTTCTCTTACCTGAAGTCAGAAGTGAAAGATGAAGGCACAGTCCTGCGTTGTAGAGGAACCATCCTCTTTTAGACAGACGACCATACATACTCAGTGCATGAGGCCTCACCATGAATAACTGCCAGCAGTGATAATGCTATTGAAGTCCATTATTTGACACTTTGCTTTTAGGAGCCCTCTGGTTCTCTTGTAATAATACAACATCCTTTCCCCTTTAACAGAAAGCAGTTGAATTAATGTGCCTTGTACCGAAACGATGCAATGATATGATGAACCTGGGTCGCCTCCAAGGCTTTGAGGTACGCATTTGCATTCTGCCTATAACAACAATTAGACAAGGAAAAGTATTTTCTCTTTCTGTGATTGTCTCTACAATCTGCCTGACTCCAGGCTGTTTCCCTAGTACTTTTCTTCTCCAGTGCTGAGCTGCATGCTTTGGTGAGGTTTTGAAGATGGGGTGATACACCTCACACTCTAAACTTGTGATAGTCTATCTATTGTTTCTTCAGAATGTGAGGTCTATAACAGCTTCTGAAAGCTTGAATCAGACTTCTTATATCTATTGCCAGAGCAAAATAAGTGGTGAACCAAACTGCTCTGCCTGTTATAAGGTCATAGAATCATAGAATCATAGAATGGTTTGGGTTGGAAGGGACCTCAAAGATCATCGAGTTCCAGCCCTCCTGCCATGGGCAGGGACACCTCCCACTAGAGCAGGTTGCTCAAAGCCCCATCCAGCCTGGCCTTGAACACTTCCAGGGATGGGGCATCCACAACTTCTCTGGGCAACCTGTTCCAGTGTCTCACCACCCTCATAGTAAAAAGTTCTTCCTGAGATCTAATCTGAATCTTTTTCTTCCAATTTAAAACCGTTTCCCCTTGTCCTATCAAGGTCACCTGGCATTAACATGTTAACAGCTCCCTCTGAGTTTGGTAACATCCAGGAGGGGACTTGTGAGTTATAGCCCCACAGGTTACAGCCTGTGGTTTGTAATTAAGGCAATGTAGACAGTCCTGGTCTGTCCTGGTGAGATGCCTTATCTCCAAAATGAAGTCAAATTTGTCTTACCATCTTATGCATCACAGCATTCCTGCAAACAGGCAGGTCCTGGGTTTTTTGCATCTCCCAGTGTTGCGTCATTGGCTTAAAGGGTGATGGAGAGCTCATGACCAGAGGGAATCCAAGGCACTACAATAACAAACTACATAATGAGAACAGGGTTTGAAATTTAGTAGGAAACAGTTTACTTGAGACTTCTTGCTTTTGGTTTTATAAGCGCAATGAGTGGGAATGAGAACAAAGATAACCTATGTTATTTTCCTTAAACTGAGCTCTCGATTTACGAGATTGCTGCTTCGATAACTTTTGGGGGTATGTCCCACGTGAATTCAGTGCTGCTTGGAAAACTTGGACTGCACGAAACATAGCAGATTGTCTCATGGGCTCATGGTGGGGTTTGTAATGTTGGTGTAATGTCTGCTTCTCAGGGCAAGCTGACAGCTCAAGGCAAGCTGCTGCAGCAGGACACCTTCTACGTGACAGAGCAGGATTCTGGAGTTCAGTCTCGGCCAAAGGAGCGTAGGGTGTTTCTCTTCGAGCAAATAGTTATCTTCAGTGAACTCCTTAGAAAAGGATCTTTAACACCAGGCTACATGTTCAAGAAAAGCATAAAGGTAAGAAATAGAGGAGAGACATACTGGGTTTGATGGTCACGTAAGGAAATCTTACCGATTTTCCGTCCTGTGAGATTGGTCCATGCTGTCATAGGTCACCAACAATTTGCAGAAAACATTTGCATTTACCTTCCAGTAGCTCAGAAGCCGTTTAAGAATATCTCTAAATAAAATGTTGGGTGTCTAAATTTGCTGGGTAATTTTTATGAAGAAGACAGCCAGCGCAGATCCTCTGTCATTCATAGCTCTGAGTTAGCAAATACTGCTACAAAGCCTGAAGTAGTCAGAGAAAGTCTACAATAGTTGCTTTTAAGCATGATCATAAAAGGTGGGGGAAGTTGTAGTATCCAAAACAGTCATCTTAGGCCAAACTGTAAGTCAATACTAAGCCTCTGTGACGTTGCTGGAAATACTCTCCCTAAAGGGGGGAAGGGCTCGTAGTACAAATGTGAACATTGCAAGAAGACAGAACTATTTCAAAAACAAACAAAAACACAGTTCTAAAAATGCAGCTATGAGGAATTATAAAATCAGCTAAACTATGAAGTTTTAAGTAAATAATTTTGGTTTTAAATCATCTTTAAAGATTATGGGGCTGGAACGAAAAGTAAAAACCACAAGTAACCAGGGAAAATACTTATCTATTTGTTTGTTTAAGGGGTCTTATGCTTGTTTAACAAATGCAAAGTTAATCTTTGGAATAATGAGTGAAGGTAAATGAATGCTAAACCTCTTCTGGTAGAACAGCCTTTGCTGTGCCTACAGAAAGAGCAAAGTCACTGGTTCATTTGAATGTCTTGATCGTTCAAAGCTGAGAAACCAGCCTGGGATTGATTTCCCTTTCAAAGATACAGGTTAAAAAGAGATGTGGGAGAATGCATTGTGTTTGCTTTAAATTTTGAATGGTACATGAATATGAAATAGAAGAGAACAATATCAGGTGAAATAAAGCATATTAACCATACATAACTAAACAAATCTATGATAAACAGCATATTTACTGAAATGAAGGCATCCTCCTGGCTGACAGAAACTGCAGCAATTACTGAAAAGCCTATATCCATTTGCAAGTCAGTGTATTTTAGAGTTTCCAAACAAATAATGGGTTATAAGGAAAAACCTAAAGTGTACAAATAAATAATTATCTTGATTTGGATGATCAGCTTTGATTTTTACTTATTGCTGATTTAAATTATTATTAAAATTGGAGATGGAAATAACATGAATCATTTCTACTTCAGTTTATTGTATGTATAACAATGAGGCTTTTATCTGCAGGAAACAATTCCTGAATTGTATATTGTAGATAAAGAGAGAAAAATAAATCTCTCCTAATGTCAATAAAATTAGCTTGCCTCAAGGGTACGAGTTGCTTTTCGAGTTAAACAGCCTATGAAAGTAATGCTGTTCCCACTGCCAGAGTTTAAAATTTTTTGTGTGATAATTTTCCAGTCCCTCTTTTCTTGCATTTGGCAAACAGCTCCTTCTCCTGTTGAGTGCCTGCAGCCAGCGTGGGATCCCCTGTGGCTCTGTGGGCATCTCCCCCACCACAGCGTGGAGCCTGTGTGCCAGCAGATCTCACACCCTGCCTCCCAGCCCCTACTTCAGCCCCCGGCTGCTGTAGCATTTCTCTCATGCTTTCACACAGAGATGAGCTGTGGCCTGCAATGGAGCAGGACCATTCCCCATAGCAGGACCATTCCCCGCCTCTCTGTGCCACGGGTGTCCTCACTTTGCAGTAGAACCTCAACCTGAGCTGAGTGACTCCCTGGAGAGAAGGCGTTCTGTCCAAAGGTGGCACATAAACAGGCTGCCTCATCACATGTCTTTCATAACCCTGCCCTAAAGGGAGGCATCCAGAAACTGCATCTGATCTGAGGTCATGAGCCACAGTTTGAGGAGGCTTTACGCTGTCAGCTAGGACCAAGTTTCTGACCTTGGTTCAAGTGCTGACATGATCCTGCTGGGCAGGTTGAACCCATCTTCACAACAGTTATCAGGACTGACTAACCATCTTTGGCTGGCTTTGATACCATCTGTGGTCATGGTTGTCCAGTTCTCTGGGAGACTCTTCCTGAGAGACGACTGGTCACATCCTGCCATGCAGCAGATGAACCTAGCCAGCACCGGACATCCCATTTCTTTGCTCTGTGTCACAGTCACTGCTGAGCACTGAGGTCTCTCCGTTAGAGTAAGAAGAGAATATGACTTCAAATGCAGCTGTTCTGGTCTGTCAGGGAGATGAGGCTCCCAAATATTGCTCTTCAAGGTCTGTCACACTTGGACTGTGATAGAAGCATCATCATGATGTCCTACATTAGCAAAGAACCCTTCTTTATGCAGTGAGGTAGTTAGTGTTCAGAAATAGCACATCCATTCTTGAATACTTCTCAGTTGGGTACCTTGCAGACTCTCAAAATACCTAAGTGGGTAGCCTTGGCAAATGCACCTCCAAGATGCACACAACTAGCAGGTTAGGGACTCTGACCTGTGAGTCTTTTTTCCTGGAGTCATGTGAGGATTGACTTGCTTGCTTTGACTATCAACCAGAGGAGCAAGAGCTCAGAACAAGAGGAAGACCACTGTCCAGGCTCACTGTCTGTCCCTTTCCTTGTCCCCATGTCAGAGGAGTTCCTGCCTATCCCTCAAATTTCACAGGGACCCCCAGGAGAGAAGGAAGAGTCTCCTTCCATCTTGAAGTTTGAACGCTGGCCAGTATTCAGATGTGGAGTGGATCTCTCCATACCTCGACAGATATTCAGAGCAGTTTGAGACAGACTTTTTCTAGATGGACGTCATTGCCTTAGTCTTCAGAGCTGTCTACTTTTGACATGAAGACACTCTTTTTTTGAAAGGCTATGCCAGCCAATTCTATTGGACTGGCACAGATATAAGTAGCTCAGGAAAAGTTGACGTTGTGGGTACATTTAAACAGAAGCCTCACGAGGGCAGGACAGCAGCTGAAATTGCCAACCGTGAGATCTCCAGAAAGAGTATCTGTGACTACAGGCAAGTGAAGTGATTGCACACAGATGACACTGTAATCTGCTAGAAATAAGATCTGTTGGAGCATCAAGGGAGAATTGCCTCTTTTTTGGGGTATATCCTTGTGCACAGTTCATTCCATTTTTAAAATACTTTAATGACTGAGACTTTCCCGTGGAGGAGAAGAAATGTAAACACTTATTTAGACTGGAGGAATGATAGACTTTATTAACATCTTAAGAGGAACATTTTAGCTCTATTTACGGGTTACAGTAAATTTTTAGCACATCAGTCAGGTCTGTGTTACCTTAAAATAGAAGTTGTAATTCAAGACAACGCAGGCGGGTGTCTGGTACATCTGTCAAGCTTTATTAAGCATCACATTTAATTTTAAGATTTATCTGCCTAATCTAGATGAGGCAAATTCTTCTGATTATGATCTGACAGTCCATTATTAGACTCAATTATTTTCAGGAACTTTTCACAACAGTTTTATTCTGATTCTTGAGTAATATTGACTCATGCTGCATGTAACACGTGCTTACCTTGCCTTGTTTCAGATGAACTACCTTATCATTGAAGAAAACGTGGACAATGATCCCTGCAAGTTTGCTCTAATGAGCCGGGAGACATCAGAGAGAGTCATCTTACAGGCAGCTAATCCAGAAATTCAGCAAGCTTGGGTACAGGACATCAACCAGGTCCTGGACACACAAAGAGATTTCCTAAATGGTATGTGCATGGTCTTTTCTCTGTTTCCCAAACTGTGACACTAAATGGGATGTAGAATCTTTGTGTCTTTGTTCCCTCTACAAGAAAAACATTTAGCAACTTCTTTTCATAAGGAGAATCCCAAGGGAAAAACTAGAGCCCAGTCTGCCTTGTCATTAAGCACTGGCTCAAGTGGTAGCAACAGAGTACATGGGAAAGAGTCCTCATAATTTACAGCTGGTCTTTGAAAAGAGACCACCTCAGTGCCACTGTACAGAGGTCTCTGTCCTTCCTGCAAGATCTGCCTAGTGGGAAGGTGAAGAATGGGAGAAGGGCCAGGCAAGCCTGATCTGAACTGCTGTGTGGCCCTGGAGGCCACCCTGAGAAGCTGCTGGAGCCCCACCTTGCATTAAAGACTGCTGGTTGTTTTGGCCTGGCTCCATTAACAGCATCTCACAGACTGGTTTTGGTAGCTTTCAGCTCTTTGCTGAAAGAGGTGGTGGGTCCCTGAGCAGTTGCATGCATCAGTCAGATTCATCTTCAGGTCTCAAGCCCCTCTTGTCAATGACATGCCTTGCGTGGTATTTTCATGCACAATTCTTTAAAATTGCTGGTTTCTGCAGCAGTGTACCACCTGGTGCTTTCCATTCTGCCACAAGATTTTAAATGTAATCCCTTCCCAAGACCACACTGAAGCCAGGTTGCCATTGTGTCTGCACAATATCTGCTGCTTGGCCAGAAAAAGGCGTATCCCCAGGAACCTCCTGTTCAACACCATCATGTGCTACAAGCTGAGGTCATGAGGTGCAACAAAGGCTGCCTCACCATCTACCCCTTTACAGGTCCAAACTCTGTGGAGAAGCCCCTGCTTTCAACAAAAACCAAAAGAGAGGGCAAGGAAACATCTGGGTTTCCTTCTCCTAGGAACCGTGGGAGCTGGGCATGAACAGGGGCCTTTCCAAAATGTCAGCTTTGCTTTAGGAATAGATTTAGGGTGGTTTGAAATAATATTTCAAATTAAAGCTGTGTTTCTAAAAAAAGAAACAAAGGCAAAAACCGCACATGAACAGCAAAAGTGTGGATTTTGAAAATAGAAATTAATCAAATTCAGTTAACAGTTTTAGCTTGTTCTCCCTCGTGATTGGATGAGGGAAAGAGGGGGAACAAGGGCTAGAGGAAAAATTTAAAACTAGTATATTTTTATTTCTTTGTTTGTAAGCAACAAAGTGGGAATAATTACTTTGGAAGCTTCCACAATTGTTTTGTTCTATTCATTTCAGCTTTTTTATTTTTAATTGAGCTTATATTAGACAAAAAGTTCTATATTTAAAAACTTAATACATTTTCAATAAGGAATCTTACTTGCTTGAATCAAAATGCTTTGGCTTGGCACAATCGGGTATTAGTGTTCTGTTTTGTGGATTTTTTGTTGCAAAATCTGAAGAGGCTCTTTCAGTTCACATCAAAACAAAAGTTCCCTTTTCTTCAACACCAAGATAAATTTTAATATTGCTCATTTTTACTTTTCAAAAGTTAACTGGGAAAGGGTTACAGACAAAAGCTGTTTATGAAAATTCAAAAAGCTATGGCTGATCTGATTCACATTCACTTGATACTGGAATTCCGTGACTTGGAATTGAAAGGGCTTCATACAACCCCTGGAAAATTATTCCTTAGAGACATTGGTGAGATGAGCAGCCTGAGTTCTCCAGTTTGACCAGTTGGTTCCAAAATTTGCCAGTTTTCTGTCGGTACAGTTGGCTTTGAATGAGGGTTTATTGAAATAAAAATAAGTTCACTAATGGTTAGCTACAGAAATTTTTTTAAACCTGTTGAGAACTCCACAGACACTACAGCAGGGGTTTTCTGTCCCTTCCACATCTTTCTTTATTGTTGTTTTATTTTTTATATATTACCTCCTATTCTCCCAGGACTTACTGCCCTGTGAGCCCCTTTTTCTACCAAAGCATCTTCAGAGCCCCTGTTTGGCCTGTCTTCTGTGAGGCCAGCAAGGAATTTGGGGGTTAGGAACATAATCATCCATATCTCTAAAGCTAGAAGTAAAAATAGATTTATATTAAAACACAAGCTTAAGGATTTACTTTAAACCTATAAATAAGATCCAAGAAAATGATATTGTATCCAGTAGAGCTTGTCCAGTCCAGAACAATTTAAGTGGCTTTTAGGATGTAATCTTATTGAGACTGACTAATCTTTAAATACGTTCTTTAGCTTTGCATTTCATTAAAGCGGATGTTTTCTGTCTTTAAAATCATATTAAATCCACACTGAGCCAATGCTGTGCAAACTTAATAACAAAATATTCCCTGTGAGTTCTTGCTCAAGCTGTCTCTGATTTTCTGTCTTCAGCAGGGAAGCCTTAAAGAGTACAGGGCTACGTACAAAGCATGCTATTTGCATCCACAGTTCCTAAATGTAAAATTTGGTGCAATTACACTGAAATATTCAAGCTTTTTATATTTTCCCTTGGAAAAGCAAAAGCTGCTAAGCTTGAGAAACAGACTGTGCACCAAATGATCAGCTATAGTGACTGTTCTTTCGTTTTGCTTTGAGAAGCAAGCTGCAAAGAAAATATGTCACTGCTGGATATAATTCATAAGGAAAATGCCATTGATCTGTACCTTTTTTAAAATCATGTTTTGTAGGGGGTTTGGGGAGAGAAAGAGAGAGTACACAAGTACGTGGACAGTGATTTTTGGCAGAAGCCTGTAAGAATACTAACAGATGTTGAACGGGAGGCTGGACGCCAGGCATCGCTGTGATAGTTAATGGTGGAATTAGTAGTCACAAGTGGACACTCAGCTAAATACCCTTTAAAAGCACAGAGTAGGGTAGATTGTTTTGAGCTAGATTGATAAGTATTCATCTGGGTCTTACTGCTAAAGACCTTGCAGCCTGATCTACTGCCTATACTAGAAATATGTCACCATCACTGTCAAAAATCACTGTCAAAGTTCTCCCCAACCTTCTGTCTCTTCAATGGCCAATCTGCAGCAGGACTAAACCATTTTCAGCTGCAGCTGAGGTAAGCGAGTGAAACTGGTAGTTACTGTGGCATAAATACAAATCATTTGTGTGACAGGGGTCACCACATAGTTTTTGGAGCCAGGTAATCTTCCAGATCACTACAAGTCTATTTTTGTGTCCTTTTGAAGAAAATGGTCATCTGACGTAGTCCTGCCTGTCTTAGGAAGGGGAATGCTAGAGAGTACGCTGAGTGGTGCTGAGCTTTTCTGTTTTTCTTTCCTTTTCCTCTTCTTGGGAAAGACATTCCTTCTGTTGTGGTTCCCTGGTTGGGCTGATGCTGTGACATTACGTCCTCCGTCTGCCTCTTGCTAGACTAGTCCCTCTGCATTCCAGTAGGTTTAGTCTGGTGCATGTACACAGTATTAACTGACTATAAATCATCCCTTAAAGCCACATGACATGCAAAAACCAAACCCATAGGTCTGGGGACAGTAGTCTGAGTCTAGCAAATCTGTTCCTTTCCCACTCACTGAGAGTCCCAGCCCTGATCCCTTCTCCTCCAAACATAACAAATTCTTTATTTCTTTATCATCTGGCATTTTTAACCTTCCTTTTCCCAGTGTAAGCTCACTCCGTGACTATGAAAAGTACACTCTCACAAGCAGACTTTTTTTTAAGGCTTACGAAGCTGTTAAACGTTGCTTGTGGGTATTTTCTGGAGAGGTCAGGACTGGTGGCATTAATGTCTTTGTGCCATCTATACTTCCTCACTTGCTGGTCATTTCCAGCAGTTTCCTTGAACCAAAGTAGTTAATACAGAAAGCACAGAGAGAGCCAAGTTGCAGTGCATCATGTCTGATGCACTGTCTTGGGAATACACAAATGAGATTTATGGGTCTTGACCTGTGTTTTCTGGTGATAGCAAAATTCACTGTGAGCGAGCTGTGCGTCTCTGATTCAGGCTCTCATTTATTGTGACTACAGGAGGTGATTAATTTGTGCAGTTTCAAAGAAAACGAATGCAATTGTGTATGCTTTGAATGGCAAATATTGTAGCCCGCTGTGGTGGTTCGAGAAGCTGTTCCTCACAGTAGCATGGGGTGCTGTGTTTGGTTGATGGGCAGTACAACGCAAAATGCTTGCGTTTCTGTCTGGCCATGAACACAATACGTGTTTCCATGGGTGGCATCTGCTGTTCCTGTTTGGTTTGCAACTTATGTGTCTGTCCTGATTGAATCACCCCCCAAGCTCTCTGCAGCCCTTTGCAATGTCCCTGAAAGCCTATCACTAATTCTTGTCCTCTTTTGCAGCGCTACAGTCGCCCATAGAGTACCAACGCAAAGAAAGTAGCTCAGCAGTGCTGAGGCCCCAGACCGGTAGGGTCCCTCAGCCCAACAGCAGACCCTATTCTTCTGTTCCAGTAGGGTCTGAGAAGCCTTTGAAGGCTACAAGCCGTAACCCATCTCTCCCACCCCTGAAGATATCTACCTCCAACGGCAGCACAGGGTATGAACACTCACAGCCCGGAGACAAGTATGAACAAAGCAAGGTACCCAGCTCATCTGATAAAACATGATCTCATAACTCATTTCTTATACCATAGACCATCTGCGAAGTTAGCTTTAATTGTCAGCTAACCAGGCCAACAGGAATCTGCAGCAATGGTGTAAAATGTGATTTGGGATTTAAACAGAGACTGCGGAAGTTCTGGTGTCCGGGCAGGTGGCACTTCAGCTGGGAAACGGAGACAGAGCCTGACCCTGGAGCCCTGATCCCGGTGTTTTTCAGGGCATTCTGTTTGCAGACCTGGTGAACTCAATACCCATGCGCTGTCCTGGCAGCAGCAACATTCAGGCTTCTGAAGGGGTTGAATTCAGAACCTGAATTCCTGAAGAGGTCTGCTCTGATGGTATAGAAGAGTTTAGACCTTTTCCCATGTAACAGCTCGCAGGGTGTCAGTTGAAGGTTATAATTTGGGTGCCCGTGCACTGCACACAAACCACCAAAGAGTCAGCAACCATCAGCAGTGCTTGGACCCTGCTGCTGGCTGCGGTTGACCAAAGCCACTTTCCAATCTGACCTATATTTAAGATCACGAGATGTGCGAGTATTCATTCATCTTCTAACATTGAGCCTTTGTTGGTCTTTGCCCCGATTTGGCTCGGCACAGATCGTTCTTCTGTGACACCACTCAAATGAGAACGTGGCTGGGGCACCGTTGCTGGCAGCTGTGAAATTTAATATGAAATAGGAGGCTGGTTTGTATCAGATTACGGCCGCCTTTCAGATCCTAAAAACCCTTGTCTACCCATGTGAACTTGAAGTGTTTTGTGTCTTGTTCCCCAGTGCATTTAATATGAAATAGGAGGCTGGTTTGTATCAGATTACGGCCGCCTTTCAGATCCTAAAAACCCTTTTCTACCCATGTGAACTTGAAGTGCTTTGTGTCTTGTTCCCCGGTACAGTTAGGCTGGAAATGAAGTGGTGGGATTGCTGCTGGAAAAGCCAGGTTCCTCAGCACCACCTGGTCACCGGTTTCTGTTGTGTCCCTTTTCACAGACTGATTTAGGGGGGTGCAATGGAACCTCTTCCATGGTGGTGATTAAAGATTACTATGCACTGAAGGAGGATGAGATCTGTGTGAATCAAGGAGAGGTGGTGCAGATCCTTGCTATCAACCAGCAGAACATGTTCCTGGTGTACCAGCCTGCAAACGACCACTCTCCGGCCGCTGAAGGATGGATCCCCGGCAATATCTTGGCTCCCCTCACTAAATCCACCACAGATAATAGCGACGGAAGCATCAAGTAAGTGCCATGTTGGCTTCGCTGGGAGCACTATGTGGATTTTTTGAGGAAAAAAATAAATGAATAAAAATAAACAAACCCAAATGGTAGGGAATTCCTGCTGATTTTTATCTACAGTGCCATTGGAACAAGATGAGTTGTCAATCCTCAGCGTCGGGCAGCCGTGGTGGATAGCTTGGGTTTTCTTATTTTCGTTTTGTGGGGGGTTTGTTTCTATTTTGGAGAGAAATAAAAACATAAATGGTTAAAGATATGTTTTACGTTATACCATTTTACACCAACATGGACCTGCTTGGACTGGACTTATATTTATGTTGTATTAAGTTACTAATCTATATATTGGTTATAACAGCTTCTAGCAAAAAAAAAAAAAAAAAAAAAACTACCAAAAAATCCAGGCCCCGTGTTGGACTGAGGTTCGCTTCTCAAGGAGGAGAGATTTTGTTGTCTATGGCAATTTCCTTGTACAGCCTGTATCTTTTTTTTTTTTTAATTTTATTTTGTTTTGGTTTGGGTTTTTTTTTCTGTTTGCAGTAACTTTTGTAATATATTTTTTTGGTTTGCAAGACCCCCATCCAAGTACATTCCTGTATAAAGTATTTTGCACTATTTAAAAAAAAAAGAAAAGAAACAAACTCATATTGATGAAGTCAGGTTGTGCAATATAATGGATAGTCGCAATGTTCATCATTGTACCTGTAATGTAACTAATTTTAAATGTACTATTTTAAATATGTAAAATAAATTTTCACCATGAGCATGTTTTAAAGAGGTAAAAGAACTAGTTTGACCCTTTTTTGGTTTTGTTTTGGTTTTTTTTTGTTTATAACATTTTGTTGCTTATTTAACAAATGTGTGGATATATATTTTTCTTTTCTGATTTTTAGAAATTTGTCAGTCTGAAATGACTAATGCAAGAAAGTGGTTTTTTGGTATTAAATACAGAAGGTACAACCCTCTTTTCAGTAATACCTGTTGATTTCTTTTAACATCTAAAATGACTAGATGGTAATGCATGATGTATGCTACAAGCTGTGTTACCTCACACGAGTACCTCGAGGCGCAGAACTGAACACGAGGAAAGATTTTGTGACAGATTCACTAAAAATAATAATTCGATCTCTGCTGCAGTTTCAGCTAAGAGAAATGATGGCTTTACCTGTCAGTCAGTAGTGAATGCTACTATGAATTGCATGTTAAGCCGAAGGAATGGCTTAGCACGTCTCTTGCACACCCACCACGGCCGTTCCCGGGTTCCTCTCTAACCACGATACACAACCACTTGCCCTTAACGTTCATCCACGGCACCAGGCTCCTGGTGAAGACTCTGATTTCACGGCAGCTGTACAGTCAAATTCTGCATCAATTTATGCAGTCGGATGAACTGTGGCCAGGAAGGCGTAACAACATTAAAAGACTCTTCTCTCTTTCTCCCCGCAGTGAGATTTAGTCTTAAATCATGTTTTCAGACTCAAACCAACCCTGAAACCAAAAAGTTGTTTGAGTACTAGAAGTCCTATGGTTAAAAAATGACCTGGAGCTAGTGTCATCTTTAGCTTTGTCTAGTCTGCCAGATCATATTGACTAATTAGTATAAGTAACAAAACTGTTTCTTCCGTTGACAAATACTGTACACAAACTATGTGGTCTATCCAGTAGTGTTGGCAACATTCACCAGTAGGTCAGGGAGTCCATCAGCCATGCCCTTGACTCTTACCTCGTATCTTAAAGGAAAACGTAGCAGTCCTGACATGTTGGATAACTTCCCCTGCTCTGCACGTCTAATTTGGACCTTCTCCAGAAACGCCCAAATACCAGGCAGCACTCACTGCCTGGCCAGGACGTGCAGGGTGCTCTGGTGCTCAAAGATCTGTGCCCATACCAGCTGCTGGCCGTGGAGACACTAATCCTGGTTGCAAAAACAGTCGATACGACCTAGTTCAGTCTCGTGTCAGCGGCAGCCAGCTGTTGGGAGGCTATTAGCTTACCTTTTTTATTTATTTTAGTTTGCACTATTGTACAGCTCCCATCAGGTGCTGAAGTAGAACCAAAAAACCTCTTAGGAATGAGGCGCAGTGTTGGTGGGGGAGCGTCGGCTGTGTGGGGCGTCCCTCGAGTCCTACCTCGCTAACATACTGCGTTTTATTGGCATCGCAGGTGATCGTGGGATTACATGCAACTTGCTTTGTAAAATGTGTCAAGGTACTGTAGACATGACATGTGCCAAACATTGGGCTTAAACATGCAAATCGAATTTGCATGACTTAGAGGTGGGCAGATGCTTGGAACCTGGATCCCAGCTCATCACACTGCTGTTTTGAGAGCTTTCTGCTTTGGACAACATACCCCCTTCCCCAGATTTCCCCCAAACCTGTCCACTGTTTAAACCAAATGAAATCCATATTAAAAATGGTTTTGTTTTTTTTTTCTCTTAATTTTTTTTATGTCTGCTTTGATATGCAATTTCTGTTTTCAACATGGCATTGCTCTTACAAAGGGTGACATGGTCTATTATGGTTTTTTTCCAAGAGTAAGGTCACAGGAACAGTTACGAGGGGTGAAAAGTGTTCTGGAAATTGTGCCTGCTGTGATGCTAGCCCAAAACCATGGGCTGACCAGTGCCCTCTCTAACCGGATTGGCAAAATCAAATGGGAAATTCTGGGTCTTGAGGGGCACAGCATTCTAGGAAATTACTTATCTCTTGGAAAGTTTATGATGTAGCTCCTGTTTCTTGAGCTATTCAAGTTCTGAGCAACGTGTAGGGAGCAACACCTTGAAACTCTTAATTATTTTTTTTCTTTGCTCTACTGAGTAATCTGTTAAGACCGTTCTCCTGTATTTACATTTGTTTCACTGCTTTTAACCAACAAGACTGAGGACTGAATTGACCTAATTGACCTTTTAACTGGAACAAAAGTAAAATAAATTTCTATTTGTGGCAATGCAGACAAAAGTCCCAGAAACCAGATGACCAAGTTTTAGTTGCCTGCTTCCATCACGGGCATATTTTTCCTGCTCCATGCATTTAAACAGCGAGTGTGGCGCAACATCTGCTTCGCAGAACCGTTGGGTTTGGGGTTTAACTCCAACTCTCATTGCTCAGATTGAGATAGGCGTGTTGCCGGTGGCTTTCACCTTCTAGGGAATTGCAGTACTCGCAAATGTGGATGCTGGTTCCCCTTTCCAAAATCCTTCCTTCCTGCTATGATTTGCCGTTTGATTGCTGCGTTTTTTGGTACAACAGGAAGTCATGTTCATGGCATACCCTGCGCATGAGAAAGCGGGCGGAAAAGGAGAGCAGTGGCAAAAATGAAGCCAATGGGCCACGTAAATCCAAGGATATTCTGGGGAACAAAGTCTCTGTTAAAGTGAGTAAGGCCATCTGAAAGCTGTGTGCTGCTCTCCTGCTTCCCATCCTTTTCACCCCCTAGAGCATCCTCTCCTGAGAGAGGGAGGGGGCGGCGATTTTGGGTTTGTTTTCTGTGGTTTTTTTCTTGTTTTTTTTCTACTTTAGTTATCTTTTTTTCTTTTTTTTTTTTTTTTTTTTTTTTTTTTTTTTTCTTTTTTTTTTTTTTTTTTTTTTTTTTTTTTTTTTTTTTTTTTGTAGTATCCATTTTAGCAGGATTTTTGCATGCAAGATAAAATGCAGCCTTTGTTTTTCGTTTTCTTTTTCCTGGCATCCCACATGCAAGTAAGTAATCTTTAAAAAGAACTCCAACTCCACAGGTCATTAGATAACTGTTCTTAAAATTGGGAGAGTAGTGATTTCCTGACCTCTGAGTGAGCCCAATCTGCAGCTCCATCAGAGCAGCTGCAGCCATGAGAAAACCATTGGGTGAAGCAACGGCCTTACTGAAGCTGATGAGTTTTCTTTAGGCCAATATTTCACCACATCTTAAGATAAGGGGTTCTCAACCTTGAGACGCTTAAGATTTTTGGTCTGGGGAGATGGTCTCCGTGACCTTTTTCTTTCCACCTGATCAGACAGGGAGGAGATGCTGACTCAGTCTTGCCAGGAGAGGGTCTCCTGTGTGTCTGTGTGTGTGTGTCTGTGCGTCTGTGTCTGTCTCTCTCTCTCTGAGATCTCCCGGTATGGAAAAGGTTGAGAACTGTGGGGTTAAGCTCCATCTTCTGCTCTGGGTGCCCGACTACTGTGCTCCAGTTTGGAGGATCCACCCCTATAAACCGACCATGAGGCCTGCTCAGGACTAATCTGGGGCTTTCCCTCCCGACAGAGGCAAGCAAACACTTGGTGGGATTTTGACACAACCAAAGCCCAGGAAAGCACTTGAGCATGTCCTTTGGATCCACCCCACTGCGGGAAGAGCCCGTGATTAAGTGTTTTCCTTTGCAGAGGCTTTCAGTCTTGTAAGCCTCCTGCAACAGCCATGGCATGTGCGAAGGGAGGGACCCTGCCACTGCCCCCCCCTGCACAGCCACCCCGCCATCAGCCGGGGAAGGACTGAGCCTGGGGCAAGTGGTTGCTCCAGCATGGTGGCCACAGTTCTTCCTCCTGCCGCTTCCTCGCTGTTTTTATTACCTGACCGACTTTGCGGAATCACTGCCTCTTTGCCAAAAGCATGTCTTTGCCTTTCCTTCCCCTGTTTTGTTGTTGGTTTGGGTTTTGTTTGGTTTTTTAGAGCATTTTCTGTACTGTTACCCATTTCCATGCTGCTCACAACCCCTGTGCTGCTCTGCCCTGTCTAACCAATCTCTCTTCTAATCTCTTGTTCTCTTTCTTCCTCTTCATGCTGCCAAAACAAGGAGACAAACAGCTCAGAGGAATCAGAGTGTGATGACCTTGACCCCAATACTAGCATGGAGGTAGAGACAATCATCCTTGTGATTTTGCTTTTATTTTTCTTTCCAAGAACTTGTGCCCGTTTTGAAATGTCTTTGCTGAAAGGGGAGCTGATGGGTCCATATGGCTCCTGGACGTATGTGCCAATTAAGTGTGAGTCGCACAAAGCACCAATTCTGGTTTTGCCAAGAGGTGAACTGGAGTTGGGGCTGCCTTTGTGATGGGAGCAGTGGAGGATGCTGAGGGACAAGCTCCTGTGGAGCTGGAGGTTCACATAGCCACCAGCAGCCACTCTTTCCCACCTAGGACCTCATTCAGCAAAAGGACAATGCATGCATGTCAACTGCCCATTAATGTGGCAGCTTTCTGTGTTAAAAACACCCCTTATCTTGACAATAGATGCTGAGCTGTTGTTCAGGCTGGTGTTATATAAATCACTGGAGCAAATGTTGCTGTAGCACAACTAGTGCTTTAAATTATCTAGGAGATCAGAAGAGACACCCTTTCTTTTTTCACCTAGCCCAGTGGGAAATTGTATTTCTTTAAAGGTACTGAAGGAGAATGGTAAAACTGGTTGGGTGAAGGTACCCGTATCACAGACAAGGCTGATGCAAATAGATGGACCCAAATTATGATACATTACACTATTTTTCCAGTGTGAAGCCACCAATCCTGGTGGAGTGACTGGGACATGGCTTGTTGAGAGAGCCTGAAGGAACTTAAAATCCTAAGAGTTAAATACCAGCTTCTCCTCAATTAATATCTTGCAGGACCCATTTTTTTTCTGCGTATAGTGACCAGAGCAAGCATTTGTATACATTGTACCAAGGCTGAAAGAGCTTCCTATTGAAACAGGCAAGGACAAGGTTCAGAGAGAAATAAGTTGTTTTGCAGAGATGACAAGGCAGGTCACTGGAGAACAGGGAGATCTGTGTGACCTAGGAGCTCCCCAGGATGCTGTTGGCCAGGCTGTGCTCTAAACAGCCCTCAAAAAAAACCTGATCTTACTCCTGGAGGGAGAAAAAAAATAAAAGAGGGAGAAGCATATTGAGCTGCACCACCTCAGCATCTAACCTGAGGCTCTCTTTTATTTTAATTGTGTTGGCGCAAATAAACACATCTTCAAGAAGGGGAATGTACTGAAGGAAAGCTTTTGACCCAGCCGGCAGCGCAAATAAACACATCTTCAAGAAGGGGAAGTTTACTAAAGGAAAGCTTTTGACCCAGCCAATGTCCTGGAGATTGAATGAATGGTTCTTACTGCTAAAGTCACATTATTCTCAGGAGTGTGTTTGCATTTTCAAAGAGCATTTTGCCAATCACAGGTAACAACTGGATGTATTTGTTACAGGGCAAATTAGAAGGTTATTGCACATAAGTCTGTGCAAGCTTTAGATCACTGGGAATTGACCTGTGGAGTAAAACGTCGCTGAGATACAGGTGTAATGTGAGAGCTGGGTGAGAATCACCGTTCTTCTTGCAGAGGATTTCTGTCTTTTGACTTTGCTCAATAGGAAGAAAAATAGATGTTTTAAGATAAAACGTCGCTGAGATACAGGTGTAATGTGCAGAGCTGGGTGAGAATCACCGTTCCTTTTGCAGAGGATTTCTATCTTTAGACTTTGCTCAATAGGAGGAAAAACAGTTGTTTTGTCAGTGGAAGGTATCTGAGTCCATACACTCTCAGCATTTCTAGTCATCTCTGGCATGCTCCATATGGGTCTTTTTGTTTGATTTGGGTTTTTTACCATGGTACAGTCTACTTTTCTTGCCTGCTCCTCAATTCAGGAGGTAAGACCCTTTCTATTTAAATCAAAAGACACTAATTTGGAAGTCTTAGCTATGGTGTGGATCTCCTATTAGAGGAGTCACTGTGTGCCTGATGTATGACTTGATTTACGCTCAGAAACCCCGTCCTGCATCTCCCAAGTCACTTACTGGAGATGCCAGCATCACTGCACCGCACTGCAGAACCCAGGAGCCTCAATGTTCCTCGTGGCTTGGAAAGCTCAAGTCTGCTTCTGAGCAAAGCTCTTTGGGGCTGAGCAAATGTTTACAATGGCAAAGGGGCAGAAAATAAGAGTGCAGGTGTGCTTGTGATTTACTATGGCCACACTGCCCTGCAAGGAGCACCATGGCCCTTCCTTTCTGCTGGTTTCAGTACATCTACAGCCTGGAGTTGAGCGTGGTCGGCTCGTTGGTCCAGCTAAGAAGTATTGGGGGGAGGGAGAGCTGATACACAGCATAAACTAAAGAAAATCATCCAGAGGGAGCAGGACAAGGGCGGGCTCATAAAATGCTCATGAAGTCCTAGAAGCAGCCATGAGGAAGACTAGTTCTGTAAAGGTCTGGGATATTCACTACTGGAAGCCACAGTTGTTCTCCCTTTCCCTTCATTATGAGTGTTTTGATGTTCCTTTTCAAATATAATATGAGAAATTAACTGCATCAAGGCCTTGAAAGCTAAAGTCTTTTCTCATTAAAACAGAATGAAGACAAGCTACTTCTACCACCAGAGCCTGGTTGAGGACTCTATCGGGTCTTTTAGGCTTTGTGTCCTAGGCTGAAATAATTGCTAAACAGCTGTGCTACCCCTCCACCCAACCTGTCTGTGTGGTGAAAATCAGCATTTCACCTGGTTTTCCTTTCTCTACTCCACACAGTACATCCCACCAGAGCCACTCACAAGCTCCCAAGTAAGCCAGGGACAGCAGGACAGGCCACTCAAGAAGGGGAAAGACCTTATCTTCACCCAGAGCTCAGCTTATGATGGATTTTATAGACCCTGGGAGTGCTGGTAGGAGGGCTGTGTCCTGGCCATCAACATTTAGTTGCATGAGGCCCCACCTGTGTCATTAAGGCAGAGTCGTCTGTAGCTGTAATTAGAGCCAGTTAATAACAGGGCAAGTCACCTGGTTTCTCTTATAAGACTGTCACCCCTGACTTCCCTCTTCCTCCCATCGTGCATGAGAACACGCACCCAGTGCTGGAATAGAGAGAAGTCTCTAAATGTAAAGCAGACATAATAATTACTTGGAATTATTAATTACTTGGAATAATTAATTACTTGGGAATTTTGGTGTACTTTACCTCCAGCCTACTCACTGCACAAGAAGTCGGTAAGCCGGTTGTTGTATCCATGCAGCCCCACAGCTGCTGTGGTCTTTCAGCTCTAGCTTTGCTTGCTGTTTATAGATACCATGTATCTGTTCAGTAGATTCCAGATTTCTGAAGCACTTTGCCTTTGTTTCAAGGGGAAACACGGGCAGGAGGAGATAAGGAGAACATGTATAGTGAGAGTGGGAAACTGAAGTTCTGGGTGGCTGTTTTAAAGAGCTAAAATGCCTTTACTGTGTTTTTGCCCACACAGGAGCAGGCTGGCCCTGGAGAACTTTCCATTTGTTGTAACTTTGACTGGAAATATTTCCTCTTGGTGGCTGTTTATTTTTTCTTTGTTTATTAATACATAATGAAAGTGCATAAGGATGGAAATGAAATTTGGCATTTTTTCCTCTAGTTTTCCGCTTTGTGTTGTTGTTTCATGAAACAGAAGGTGCAGACCTGGCATGTGAGCTTGGAGGCAGGTGCTTTGGGAGCCTGTGTAGCCATGTGAGCCGTAGGAGTAACCTATATTTAAGAAAGATTGGAGACTCCCTTCCCACACGCTTGTAGTTAATTGCACAGGGACAGGCAACTCCACTTCTGGGAAGGTGTATGCCCTTGTGAATCAGTAAATATCATCCACACCCAAGTCTGGGGTCCTGGACAATGACACAACTAATTGTCCTCCAATTCTGTGTCGTAACATCTCATGGGGTTTCGATACTGCTGACGGGGTCATAAGTCAACTGTGCAGATCCCATTGGGCTACCTCTCTTGTCTGAGTGAATGTCCTTCCAGCAGTCAGAAGACCTGACTTAGCTAAACCTTGCTCAGTTCAGCAGCAGCTCTTCCAGGCTTTGGGGTGGACCTCACATGTAGGGATCTGACGCGGCTCCAGACATCTTGGTTGGCACAGCGTGACTCCAACTGCAGTGTGTTACAAGTAATCCTGACTAACACACAACTGTCACCACGTGTCTAGTGTGTGTTCCACTTTCTTAGCTGTGCACAGGAGAGATGAAGTCCAGGCCCACCCCAAGTCAGTGGAAGTGCCATCATTAGATTAGTGAGCTGGGCTGTGGCCAAAATACTTCAGTTGGGCTTCATCATCTATTTTTTTTCAGTTATGACATTTTAGCATGTTAAGAACTACTCAGAGACACTTAGAGCAAGATAAGCACTAGGAAACATCCTGTAGGGAAGAATATTGTGTTAGCACCCCCACGGTCCAAGTCGTTGAATAAGTAATGGTTTGGTGGATACAGCATTGGCTCCAAGTCAACACTCAGCTCAGGCCAAGAATTCCCAAGTGCTTTTGGTGAATTCCTTCACCCCCTGCCTTAAGTCGTCCTTTTCTAGAGCAGACAAGAATTCCCAAGTGCTTTTGGTGAATTCCGTCACCCCCGCCTTGAGTTGTCCTTCTCTAGAGCAGGTCTAACATACTCTTTAGGTGAGATATCCTACAATACTGGTAAGAAAGCCTTTCCTGGCCTGTTGCCACAGTATAAATGAGTACAGTCCTGAGAACCTCCCGTGTTTCCCTGGGGTGGTGTCCAGGGGTGACACCGCTGTCCTGCTGCCTGGAGTGGGCAGGGATTGCTGAGACTGACCAGGAAGGTGGCTCATCAGGTATGACATAGCCTGAGCTAGCAGCACAGGAGCAGTGGTTTAGCTTTTGGAAGAGGAAGAAGTGACCTACTTCATCTGCAGGGCGCGGGTAGAATGCTACAATGTGGTGCCTGGAGTACCAGGGACATCCCACAGCTATGGCTGTTGAAGGGCACCAGCCATTAGGGCCTCACAGCAAGAGCACAACAAGGACAAGAGGACTTCTGCTTTGCACAGATTCATGTACAACAGTCAGCACCTCTTGTGGCTTCTCCATCCGTCTCAAAGGTAGCTGAGACCTCCATGTGGGATG